TATATATATATATATATATATATATATTTGTTGAGGCAATCACAAGATAGGGAATTTTATTTCTAACGAAATGAAACGATTTTGTGATCAATCATGAATTCATTAAATATTATAAAATCAGGTCCACACACACATCATGCCGAAGATGATTGGTGAGTCAAGTTTGTATGTAGTTTGGTTTTCACGATGTTCCTCCTTGCAGTCTACATCAACTTCAAGAGTTAATAAGAAGTGAGAGGTGGATTGTTTATTTATTTATTTTCTTCTTGCTTTTCAAGTTGAAAAGGAGGCTGACCTGAAAGCTTCAAACCGTAAAACAGACTGCACAAAACAAGTCTAGGATTTGTCACATTGGCTTCATAATGTTTATTCACTCTTGACCGTTTATAAGTTTACCGAGGGATGCTAATTGAAATAGTTTAGTCTAACCAAACAGAGCCCCGAATAATTAAGAACGTCCATATTTTATTTTTTATTTTTATACAAGTGATAATAAGTAAAGGAGATTCAAATTTAAAACCTCACGTGAAAGAATAACTACTTTTTAACTATTTAAGTTACAAGTCCCTTGCTTAATAATGCTCGCTTTTACACATGAAACCCAAGAGACCTAGCCAACTCTAGACCAATATACAGAGCACAAAGTTCAGCTGAAAGGTCTTGTCCACTACCCACGGGGCCACGTTATGTTAGGTCGATACAAATTGGAATTAGGCCTGACCATGTTGGGTTAGGTATCAGGCTTGAATTTGCTTGTGCTCTGCCACAGCCCATTAACAAGTATTAATTTAACAGTTTCTGAAAATATTTTAACCGTATAGCCGCGCGGCTGTACTCTTAAAATATTACAGTTAAACAGTATAGCCCGCGCGGCTATACTCCCGGGATATATTCGAATATTCTACAAGTATAGCCGCGCGGCTATACTCTCTGAATATATTCGAATATTTTATCCGTATAGCCGCGGGGCTATACTCTCTAAATATATTCGAATATTTTATAAGTATAGCCGCGCGGCTATACGCTTTGAATGTATTCAAATATTTTAAAAGTACAGCGGCCCGGCTACAATTGGAAATCCAATAATATATCACGTCTCCAGTGCACAAAGCAAAAACAAGCTCTGATATTGTGACCAAACGTACCAATTCAGCATACGTATCTGGAAACTTTAAAGTCTACAACCTTGTCCATTCTCTCAAAAGATAATGAGACTGGATACTCTACAATGCAATGTTTCTCGTATATCGCCCTGCTCCGGTTGTGTTCGCTGCACAGTCCAATTTCTTGAAAGGTTAGCTGCACTTCCCTGCGTTTCTTCTTCTTCTTCTGTTTAGTATTTATGATCCTTGAACATTGTTGTTTAGTGGGTTTGTCGAATTTGCTATTTTATGAATCGTGTTTTTATATTTTTGGTTTTTGGATTTTGATAAAAGGTATTTTTGCAACTGAATAGCATTGTATTGGTGAATATCTCTCGAAAGCATGTTAATTTCTGTTAGATTATGACAATTTTTAACGTTAAATTGTCGAGTGTTGGAAAAATCCGCCTAGGCGGCTAGGCGGGAGTTAGGCGGTCTGGGCGGGTCGGGTCCTTTTAAATTTTATTTCCTGACTTTAACGCTGCCTCTCTCTCTCTCTCTCTCTCTCTCTCTCTCTCTCTCTCTCTCTCTCTCTGCCTCTT